GTATTTTTGGAATATACCCACAAAATTTGTTTAGCACTCAAACGGTTAAAGATTGATAATGGATATAATATTTCATTCATATGGAAAATAAATAAACAGCGTTTACGTTTGCTAAATTATCACGAGTTTTATCACGAGCCTGACTCGATATTATAGGAGAACGCGTTCGCTACCGATGACGGTCTCCTCAATTATATTTTCAATCCAATAAATCTAAACAAGATAATAGAAAAATTAAACTGCAACGAGTCGTTGAGTTCCTAAATATAATGTCGTAGTTTATTATTTCCAATAACAATATCTAGAGGATTAATTTCATTTTCATCATGAAAAATATAGGATTACGACCGTCACAAATACATGTGCCGCCGGTAGTGAACGTGTTAAAGTGTCCGTAATCGTTCGTGCTTTTTGAGTGTTCGATTTTACTGCTTAACACGTTCACGACCAGCTTTCAGTAGCAATCTTGATGGTTGCGATGTTTCATTAAATACAGGAAATCGTCGGTATTAAATGCAAATGAAATCCAAGGAAGAAGTCGTGTCGCGTTTCTATACTTGACGATTTTAAATGCAGAACACACGAAAGTAATCTAATTTTCTGTATGCAAAATTCAAAGTGTTGAGCGTCACAAATATATGACGCTGGTTACGAACGTGTTAACACTTAACGAACGGGTGGTTCCTCGTCTATTTTTCTCCAGGAATTTTTGAAGAAATTATATAAACCTGCAAGCGTGTCTTTAAATTATCGCTGATTTCTTAAATTGGTATCATTGTTAATACAATTTTGTGTTAATTATTTTCATGTCTAGTACTTGTCATTAGTACCGTGTTTTACAAACCAGTAACATGAACATACGTAAATTTGTGTCACGTCCGTTAAGTGTTAACCCTTTGAGCTCGGAAGGCGTCACCATTTGATTTGGCGCAGTGAAACTATAAAATCTATTTAACGTTGAACTTTGTATAATGTCTTCATACGTGAAATATTGGAATAACATAGCTTTGTTCCTCAATGTACTTGCGATTTCCTTTCGAGTTAGTTCCAAGGAATATCGTCTTCGTCTTGACAAAAGATGTTAAACATTTCTATCGAGAAACTTCCGAGTGCAAAGGTTAAGTAAGTAGTTCTTTTGCGTAATTTTGAAAAATCTTTCTGATCTTCGTTCGGTGAAATTAATCACTTTGGCGAATGAATGGATGGAATATTATCGATTTGAACAGTTCCCCGTGAAATGTTTATGCTCGTTCACCGTGTCATCCTTTAGAGGACACCGAGTCACGTGACCATGGTGCTTCCTGTACGAACGGAAAGGGAAAGCTCGTTGCCTCCCCCTCCTTTCTAACGATCCGACATTGTACGCGACGCTTTGTTTGGTATACTGGTGAAAGCCACTATCACAGAGGAAATGTAAATGATGCACATCGTGTCACCGTCAACTAGAGCATTTGACGCCGCTAAACTGTTTTAACCTTCGGATGGCGACGCCCAGGTCCATTTGCTAGTTGAGGCTAACTCGAATTGTTAATCGTTTATATTGGTTCTAATAAAGAGGTCGATGCGACTCGAAGAATTTCGATGACATTTTTTACAGAACTGATAACTAATCACGCTAATGAATCTAGATCTCGTAGCCGGTGCGAATAGTTGAAAATGTCCGATATTACGAGGTTTCGCGGTTGCTACCGTCAAGACGACCGAAAGTAAAACGAGTATCTGTTTTAAATTTCATTGAAAGAGCCTTCAATATTATCAAATAGATGATAGTATTAAACGAATGTTTGTCATCGAGTTGTAACAGTGATTCGTAGATAGTTAAACGTGAAAGCGTACTAACCCGTTTCGACTGGACGCTGATACTTTACAATTGAATTCTTCCACGTTGTGTCATACTTTCGATGCATCTCAGTAATCGCTATGAATTAATGAATGCAATACTACTAGAAATTAAAAGAAAACTGTAGACATGAACCTACGGTGTATTTCGTATAAAACAAAAATGCGTTTGACAACTTCGAGTCGGTTAAGTGTGCAATGGAAGCTATAATTGTTGAGCGATGTCTTCGTCTGTTCAAAACGAAAGATTTCATTGTACGAACAAAAAACGGTCGCTTAATTGCGTGTTTCACTTTCAAAATTTCGCAGCTTCTCAATGTTCACCGAAAGTTGTTCTATTTTCTTGAAAATTTCTTTTCTTAACAAGTTGACTGCCACGGCGGTCACCGTAGCTTCCAAATTGTAAAATAATTATAACTTGTAAGATGACTGATGTCGAATAAGTGTTGAGTACCGTAGATAACTAGATAAAGGTGTAACGGAAGAATTGCGATTCTCAATAACTAATATAGTTCTTCCTCGTTATCTTTACTACAGAAAGATTAAGCGATACATGAAGCGCTGGTGTTTTTGTGGCGGTCAACCTGTTAAAACTGAAATAATCCTTTCGCTCGAGCAGAACAACAGAGGATCGTAGCTTCAGGAGAATAAGAATCGTTGAGACGAGTTTTGGAAAAACCATGTATTATAGAATAATAATAGATTACATTGTTCGTGGTAATAATGATATAATAAACCAGAATATACCTGACAATAGTAGTAAGAACCTAAAATAACGCGAATACTGAATACATATTATTAACAATAATGAGAGGAGGGACTTTGGGGTTGGGAAGAGGGGATTGTGTGTGTGTGTGTGCGTATGTATGTATGTATGTATGTATGTGTGTGTTCATGCGTGTATGTACGTGTATTGGCAAAAGGAAGGGGCCAAGCCGCTCAGAACTGCGCTTCAAATAAAAACAAAAAAGGGAGTCGAAGAAAAAAATAATAGAGACAACAGATTCGATAAAATCGATTAAGATCACTGAAACGTCGAAAGCCTGGCACCGTTCGACGAGTTCATTTCGCTTGAACGTTCCTCGTACTTTCATTTTCCAATCTCGAAAAACCAAAGGATAAAACAAAAAGAAAAATAGCGAAGAAAAAAAGAATCGATCGAACAGCCCGCGACGCGAAACAATTTCATTCGTGTA